CGTGTTTCGATTAAGTCGTAGCCGTGTCTGTCAATAGCAGATTTGACTAGTTGACATTAAGTTTGTATTTTTTGTTAGTTTCTTGTTAAAGGTACGTTCTACGATAATCTGATGGGCGGAGACTCAGAACTATTGTGCCTTTCTCACCGGTACGCTCCGGGATCGACTGCAATAAGTAGTAGGTGCGCTTCACTGTGGAAGGTACAACGGTTGTGAGTCTCCGCCCACCAGACTATCGTGGAATCTATCTTTGTTATTGTTGGTTGATGCTAATTATCGTGACACGGTAAAATTTTATCAAAACATCATAGAACACTTGACAAAAAACTACGTTATCACTTTTTTTCTAAAGAACTTGTTTTGATCTATATACAGTTAGCGAAATAGGAATCGAGAATCTTCACCGTTCATTGCAAAATTGATGGATTTACAGTCCATAGGTGAGGGCAAGAAGGGGCGTAGCGGCGAGGGTCCAAACGAAAGAGGAATGGTCTGTGAGAGAGAAGAGTACGGACACCCACTTCCACCCTCCGATATGGACTACACGAGCTTTAGTTCAGTTTATGCGTGGAATTCTCTTCTCGGTGCATAAATTCGGGAAAATCAATGAAACCATCTCCGTTCAGATCGATGTTTTCCATCAAAGAGTCTATCATTTCAATCATTGCGTCTTCATCCTCCACTGGTTTTCCAAGAGCTGAAACCAATTCGTTGAGGTGCAGCAAGTCTTGAGAGCAGGAGTGGGAGGGGCACGCGGCTACAGTCCTATTCCCTACGGATGCTGGGGCGCTCAAGGGTGAATGGGTTTGGCGGGGCGCCAGCCCATTTCCAGTAGTTTATTCACTCGTCCGCTTCAATGATTGGTGGGGAACGTGCTGGTGCCGCGCCAAGCCCAGCCCCCCCCCACTTCTGACACGCCCCAGCGAACAGGACTATAGATCACGCTGTGACAAGTCACATATTGACACGCATATATTCAGTCTTGGCCAACACTATTTCGCTGCTAGGATGCAGACGACCAAACATGACGTAATGTGGCGAAACACTGCTTGATAGCACCACATGCGTGGTTGCGCGGTCCTCCGCAACGTACCCTTTTTCCCAGGTTAGGGTCGCCTCAGACATTAACGTAGCCCGGGAGGGGGGGGGGGGAGGTAGAGCATTCCACAGGGTTTTGGAAAAATCTTCCTCGATACAACCCCACCGCAAACATCCGGAAAACACGGCGGACGAGGAGGTCTCCGATTAATCTTCAGACAAACCAGATGGCTCAGTCACCCTTGGAGTCATAGAGGTATGCAACAGGCCTAAAACTGAAAAAAAATCAGCCAAGCAAGATGTATCGTCAGGCCAGCATTTCTCCGTCCCTTCCCAGCAACTGAATATAATCCCTGCTGTGGATCCACAACGATGGAATGTGGGGGTTTTGAGCCGCGGTGGGAGACAGGCTTTGACGCGACAGCTCTGGTCACTCCACCCCCCCCCCCCACAGTCCCCTTAGCTTCCTAGGCTGCCTAGCTGCATACAAATATAAGCTAAGCGCAATTACGAACATGTATGGCTATGAGTGACAGCTTTGATAATCTCATTGCCATCAATCAGATTGTCTTTGTTGAGGTCGTTCATGGAGAAATAGTGGAATCTGAATGGATTCGTTCATTGCTATCAAAACATAAAAACGATTCAAAGGCAGTGGTCACGATGGTTGCGGCGGGCGGTACGTCAGCGTCATTGGTAGAATTAGGTGTGACCAAATGCCTTCTCACAGCCCTTCCACCGATGGCGTTGGCCGTAACCGCCCGCCCCCAACTATCGTGCTCCCTGCATTCAAGTGAATAGAACCTCTGTTGCTCTTCTGTCAAGTTATGGGATTCGGCGACGTGCTTCAAATGTTGCTTGATATGTCTGAATACGAAAAGATGAAAATAAGTCCATTACTTCGAATTCGTTATTGTAACCACTTAATCATGATCTCTTACTGCTCATTATGAATCTCAGCATGATCAGCGAAGTGGTGATTCTCTTCATCAGCAACGACGAAGGCTGAAAGTCTCTTAGTATCACAAGAATGCTGAGTTGTGGGCAAAAGTCGGACCACGGGCGGGACTCGAACCCGCATCTTCTGCTTACCGGGCAGTTGCGTTACCACTTACGCTACCGGGGCCACTTTTTCGAAGGCAATGGCACAAATAGCCATTGAGCTGAGAGGTCAAAAGTGGCCCCGGTAGCGTAAGTGGTAACGCAACTGCCCGGTAAGCAGAAGATGCGGGTTCGAGTCCCGCCCGTGGTCCGACTTTTGCCCACAACTCAGCATTCTTGTGATAACTTTCGTATCGCGCACTGCGGCGTAAAACAGCAGTTATCAAACAAAACAGTCTCTTAGTTTCATTTACTGATGACAAACGTGCAGGTGTAGCACGGGTTCGCTGTCCCCTTACGGTAAGAAGGCAACGTACCATCTGTGATGTTAATGATAAGGGAACCTGAATCTTCGCCCATGACGTCTCAACGGCACGCCCTTATCGTGTTATATGACGTCAATAACCCGTGATCTATCGCTCGATATAGGATATACTCTAGTTCGCTGCGAACGGTTGGGTGTGTCAGGCAGTATGAGTGTGTCACCCCGTTGAAGCCGTTCTCTGACTTCTTGTTGAAGCGCGCATGCGAAAAAAGTGATAGTAAACGAGTAACGCGATACAGTCATATCACCCGCTCGTTTAACAACTGGTGGAGAACGGGTCTGTCACCGCGCCACACTCATCCCGCCTGACACGCCCAATCGTCAGCAGCGAACTACACTATAAGAGCGTAGCTGTGCTGCATCAGCGCCAAGGCACGTTACACCCGGGCTCTCTCGCGAAAACAGGCGGACCGCGCTGCCTGGTATTTAACGTATCCTTAGATGCTGCGCGAAAGGCCAACGGCAAGGGGGTGGGAGTAATTATTGGCAATGGTTGACGGTTACCATACCATAAGGTGGTGTGCGATATGTGTGTATTGTCAGAGGTTATTGTTAGAGTGGCTATTGGGATTGTGCCAGCCTGAACGGTTTGAAGCTTGCAGAGATCGTATTAGAAAGCGGGCTAGGTGCGACATTCAAAAACCCATGCGCCCTGACACCACCCCGACCGACCCGGTGATAATCACTTAATGTAAATGAATCTGAAACCCTTCCAATGCTGTTGATAGTTTAGTGAAATACTCAAGGTTGAGTTCTGTTTCTCTCAAGCAGCACGAATTGTAGCCCGAGAGTAGTGGTTTCTCCTCCCAGTGCCTTTGAAAGTTCATGCCCACCTCGCAAACTTGCTACCAGTAAATCGCTGGCTTTTGAGTTTATTCGATCGAAATGGGTCCACGTGTTGGATTGAACATCAGCTGACATTTGGCAGTCGTTGTATAAGTCAACTACGCGGTCATCCTAACAAGTGTCTACTCTGGGGACATGCAAGACAAGCGGTCGCTTGTGGGCCTGTGTCGTCACGTCACCGCCTGTTAAGTATAGTTGTCGGGATGTTATTACTCGCGCTCGCGTTCTATCTTCTGTAGCCATCTAAAGCGTATCGCCGCGATAATTTCTGCTGCCAGCCCGGCCCAATACACTCACTCAACTCGTTTTCAGCGCATCGACTCTCTCTACGTCTGGGTCTCTCGAATCGACCTGCTCTCTCTCTCTGACTGTGTCTGTCTATCCAACCAGTTAAAAACGTCTCAGGGCACTTGTCAACCGGGAAGCCTCTCCTCTCTTTCATATTTCCTTCCTCCTTCCTTCTTTTCCTTCCTTCCTTCCTTCCTTCTCTGATCCCTCCTCCTTTACCTTCTCCCTCCAACTACTGGACGATGATAGCTGAAAATACCCTGGACCCCGCAGTGAGAGCGGTCGTCCGGCGAACGGACAGTTGTCTTCCTATGAACCCAGCACGGCATCGCAAGGGACGGCAGAAAAATGAATTTGAAACGCACCAATCGTCAAGCAAATCAGCACCGCATGCCGCGTAGCCATCATAAAAAACACTGATGCCAACTTGAGTCTGATAATTTTCATGATGTTGATAAGAGAGATAAGCTGTGTCTGAATGATGCTGCCAGAGTTCTTCGATTTGAGCGATTTGTTTTGACTTAAAGTACCGAAATAGTGCAAATTTAAATTGAAAACGAGGTGAAGGAGCACTTCTTGACAATTTTCTTGATTTTGTCGCTGACAGAGGCAATTTGGATGTAAGCATCGCTAAAAAACACTCAGAAGGCTCAAAAAGGAGGAATAGGGAGGATAACGGCTAGAAGCAGAGTTGCAATAATTATGGTGGAGAAAAAGCAGCATAAAGCATAGCAGTAGTGCGTTACTTGGGCACATCGGACCCTTGCCGCTCCACTAGTACAGTCGTCATCCTTGCACTTGATAGTCAATGTCAGTGCGGCTGCGTGCGGCGCGGTCGCCCGCACCCGTACTGCACCAATCGTTGAACCAGGAAGTGACATTACTGTATTATATCCTTCGTGTTACTCGTTTTCTATCACTTTTTGTCGCATACGCGTTTCAACGAAAAGGCTGAGAAGGCTTCAAACAGTGTGCACGCTCCTTCTCGCCGACACGCCCCTATCAAGTGCAAGGATGACGACTGTAAGTGTAGCATACAGCCTCAGGGAGGACACTTCAGAGACTACTTATGGTTAGAACTCTATCTTGAGACTATTCAGAAATTTTCAGCAATGAATCCGATCTGACCCGATATATGCCTTTACATTCGCCCTATGTTGCAGGGGCAAGAGTTAATGTCCACGGACTTGGTCTGCTGCGCGAGGGCGGTAGACAGTCACCGGTTTGGGATAGGCGACATTAATAGAGTGTGCATGAGAAAAAGCGAATGGTACAGAAAAACGGTGATGGACCTATTGGCCTCAGTGGGCTTCAACACAACTTTATTGGATTAACAAAGCACCCAATGATATCTCAACCCTCGCCAGTTGTGGGTTAGTCGGCAATCGAGGGCTGGTTCCAGCTCACTTCTCGCACAAGTGCATGGAATGATGCTTTCAATACCTTTGGGTATTTCTGATTTTCTCAACAAATCGAACTGTGTTCGTAAAATGATTAATGTTTATTCGCAAGCTTTCTCATCATCGAGATCGATTGTAAAATAACCACAGAGAGCATTTCAAGTTAAGTGCCTTCCAGCCATCGTACATGAACTCTGAGAAGTCGATATAGCCGTCACCGTTCTTGTCCATATCCGTAAGCACTTTATCTACGGTTCCAATCATACGTTCTTCATCTTTTACTCCATAACTCGGACTGACTTGAACATTCGTTCCACTATTGCGAGAGTGTTCAGTAGTGTTCCTGGGTTGGGGGAAGGCATTTCACGCCACAGTGAAGAGTTACAGAGGATTTCCGTCGCTGACGCTGGGGCGTGTCAGGGGGCTGCGTTTGACACCGTTTTCCACCAATGGTGGAAGCAGGCAAGCGACAATAATTGGTGGAAAACGGCATGGCTCCGCGCCATACCCTCTCCCACCCCCTGGCACGTCCAATGTCTGCAGCGAGAGCGACTATTGTGTCTTACAAACACTGACTGCGCGCATTAGTAGCATTTGCTGCTGTTTGGCTTGGCGGGGGCATCGAATGGTACTTAGCCAAGCTAGTTCAGACCTGTAAGTTCTTGTAACGAAAATTACTTATATCATTTCGTCGCTTCGCAGGTCTCACCAAATTTAACCTGTCTACGACAAAGACTAGCACAGGAACTAGCGAAATGTGTAGAATGCCCCTCCAAAGCCGAACAGCGCCGCCTGCTAGATGAGGGAATAGAGCAAGAGAAAACGGACCTGTATAATCAGCATGTTCATGTGTAAGCGCTTTGATTATCTCGTTACCATCGATCAATCTGTCTTTATTTTGGTCGCTCATGTGAAAATAGTAGAATCTAAAATGATTCAAAGGTTCTGAGTATGTGGCGATGCTTATGAATTGAGATGGTTAGGTTCCTTGGTAGCAGCAACACGGAATAGGATGGAGGCTTGTCTAATTTCAAACCAAAAGGCACGTCCAGCGAAAGATAGGTGTGGCATGGGGCAGTGGGCGGGCATCGCCTTCATCACGAACGAATGGCGTCCTTACGACGTATTTTTGAGCCGCATCTTTCGTGACTGTGGGCAGCACCACCTTCTCCAAGGACAGCGTCTGCACACCAAATGAACGTGCCAAAACTCAGGTGGAATGAAAACAATGTCGTGTGAGTGTAAAAGCGACTTCGGAAGCGATCTAAAACTGGAAAGAAGTGCTGTCGTTACCTCTTTTGTTCCTTCGATAATTTTTCTATGTCAACCTTGCCTTGAAAATGTTGCATAATATGGCTGCAATTCAATTAGAGGGTAAACAATTGTTGAGAGTTGTTTTGGTACCATTCTCACCCTTCATCATGGACGTCTTTATCTTCACCAAAATGTCGCTCACTACTGATCGGGACGATTACGGCTGAAATTGAATTTCACTCTTCGCTGGCAAACATCACTCTAAATGTACTTCGAACTGGGACCAGTAACTCCCCATAGGATTTCCCAAAGAAAGAGTGTGGGATATGGTGTTACTGGGGCACATCTTGAGCTGGCGATCTTAATATTGTCAAAGTATCCGACATTGTGGCGCAGCTAACCTTAACAGTCTTTCACTTTACCTTCAATACCCCTAAATATCCCTGAAATCAATCGGCGGTGGTGCCCTTCGTGGGCATTTGTAAGTTTTGACCTACATGGTCGATTCGCGCGGGGTTGTCACGGCAGCGCCCGGGAGCTTACAGTGCGATCGATAGGGGCAATCGAGGGGGGGTCAGCAATGCAGTATGTAAACAGTATATAAGCCGTTTATTACCATCTCATCGCAGTGGGGTGGGGGGCGGGGTGAACCTCCCAGTCAGCGTGGAAGGAGTGAGTTCAGATAGGCCCACTCGGTCAACTATTGAAAATTGTAGTTTTGTGGGCCGCCATCCCGAGGAGTCTAAGCAAAGCGAGAAAAATCAACAGCCAGAGAAAAATCTTCTCAGGCCGAATACGACCGCCACTCCCCTCCAGCGGCGAAATACAACCGATCTCGTGAATCCCAACGTACGACGTGCCCTGCACGCAGAGCAGACACACGGCCACTGCCGCATGGTCCCGCTAATCTTCTTCAACCAGGCCACATCGTTGTTGGGGATCCCCAACAGGGGGAGGGGTCGTATTTGGCCGCCAGGAGAGAGGGGGTCGTGTTTGGAAAATTTTTTTTGATAGTTGATTTTTCTCGCTTCACCGACGTTGTGATGGGGGGGGTCGTACTTGTTCATTGTTGGAAAGGGGGGGGGGGTCGCATTTACTTTGTGGCCTTTCTAGGAGTGGTTGGGAGAGTTGTAGTTGACTTTTCGTGATTTTCCTGCTACGCCCTCCCCCCCCCCCCCCCCCCCCGCTCGACGGCTCGATTCGATGAGGAGGGACAGAGGGCCGGAGGGGAGGGGGTCGTACCAACCCTCAAAAAAGGGGGGATGTCGTACGGACTCGACTGAACTCCCCAACCAGTGATGTGCCCTGTCTTCAACACACTCCTAATGCTCCACAGCTTCTTCACCGAATCTCTTTATCATCACTACCTCACTACCCGCCTAGAAACAACATTTAGACTTACCAGTAATGAGCCAAATGAATACCGCGGTTCGCTTGGCCATCACACCGAGAACACTGATTGGAAGATCTTTTACCGTAAGGGCTCTAATCATTTGAACCTGAGCTGATGGGGCGAGGCCACGTCATCTGAGGTGATATGATTAGAGCCCCTTTTACTGCTGTGATTTGATCTTGATAGGGAATTATTTATCGTGGTCTTTTCACAAAAAGAACCATAAGTTCCATCCGGACCTATTTTTTGCCGTATAGCTTTATGTACAAGTAGAGTGATCGTAGTAATCGAGCAGTGTTGTGTCATCAATAGAGCTAAGTAAGTTCAGTAGCTATGACGATCGTGCCGAGTTTTTCGATTGTTCCCTCATGTACTCTGGAAAATCGATGTAGCCATCGCCATTTACGTCCATGTCAGCCAGCACTGAGTCGATCATTTGAACCATAGTTTCTTCGTCTTGTAGTGGCACGCCAGGACCTGAAGAAAAGCTCTTTTTCAGCGGTAAGCAGTGGTAAGGGGATGGATGAGCAACGGGTACAGCATCACTAGGAGAATCCCATCAGAGCTCGAACTGGCCCTCGAGAAAAATTTTCTCGTTTCAACTTTTCGCGTGACGACCTCCTACACTCCTTATCCCTGGGACGGAGTAGGCGTGGCATTCGAACGCGGCACAGAATATATTACTTGTGGGATATTTCAGTTTGAGACAACTGTCATCTTGTTCTATGTTGGACAGAGGCACGACCACAGTTGTATCAAAATGAAAATATCTCTCCAAAAGCACAGCCACCGCCAGGTTTAGTTGAAGTACGCAGCCACGCCTACCACATCTCAGGGATTCCGAGTATACCTCCCCGAGTCGCCGGTACTGCTGAGCTACGATACACGTACATTTTTTGATAGATGGAATGCTGAACTCAGTTGATTGCTGACGCCCCCCCCCCCTTTA